GATCGAGGTGTGTCAGTGATGTCTCGGGGGGCACACAGCCCTCCTGTCCCCCCCAGCCCCCTCCTCTCTTACAGGCACTCGGGCAGCTGTGTCTTGTCGCTGATGGAGCAGGTCCCGCCGTGCAGGCAGTAATTGTCACACGTCAGGCAGCTCGGTGCTATCTTCCCATCAGGGCAGCTGTGGGGCACAGAGGATCAGCCCCATGGGTACCCCCTAATGCCCTGTGCCCCCCCAGCTGTTCTGTGCTCCCCCCAGCCCCTCGGGACTCGGCTCTTGGCTCATCCCACCCACACAGCTCATGGCTGGGACACCAGGATGGGCTCTGGGGAGACACTGAGACACCTCCACCTCCTCCCAGGACCAGCAGGTCCCCTGGATTGATCTGCCCTGAATTACCCACCCAGCTGTGGTGATCCTGCCACAGGGGGACAGGTTTTCCCTGGGCTCCTACCACCCCTTTTCCTCCCTCCAGCTCGACATTCCCAGCACCTACATGCAGGAGACCTCCCCACTCTGCTTGTTGATGCTGCACTTGCCCTCCTGGCACCGGGAGCATTTGTTCTCCTGGCACTGGGCGCCCTCGAATTGAGGGGGGCAGCGGCACTGCTTGGCACCGCTGGCTGTCATCTGGCACACGCCATCGTTCTCACAATAGTCAAAGCACTGCCCTGTGGGGGACAAGGGAGTCAGGGTCTGACCTCAGCTGCCCCTCCAGATGCCCCAGGGAGCACCAGCCAGCCCCACCCAGCATCCCACCAAAGAGGGGGACCTGGAAATCCAATCCCACGGGTGCTGTTTGCAGGGATTCCCCCAAAAGAGGGAGACATGGGGAGCACAACCCTTGATCCTGTCCCCAGGGATTCCCACACAGCATCCCCCAAAAGAGGCTTGGGAGCCCAACCCTCTGGCACTGTCCCCAGAGGTCACCCCCAAGGCATCTCCAGGTGAGGGACACCCACCTTTCTGACACCCTGCTGCTGTCCCCAGACATCCCCAGGTGACACCCACCCTCCCAATGTCCCCATTGCTGTCCCCAGACATCCTGAGGTGAGGGACAGCCACCCTCCCAGCACCCCCACTGCTGCCCCCAGACATCTCCAGGTGACACCCACCCTCCCAATGTCCCCATTGCTGTCCCCAGACATCCTGAGGTGAGGGACAGCCACCCTCCCAGCACCCCCACTGCTGCCCCCAGACACCCTGAGGTGACACCCAGCCTCCCACCACCCCCGTTGCTGTCCCCACCCCGTGGCGCGGCGGGCGGCACTCACGGTACTGGCAGCGGTCCCCGATGAAGGTGGGCAGGCAGCGGCAGCTGGGCTGGTTGCCCTGGTTGACGGTGCAGCTGCCGTTGTGCTGGCAGTAGTCCATGCACACCTGCTGGTTGCACCGGGGCCCGGTGAAGCCGGTGGGGCAGCGGCAGGTCGGCATTCCTAGGGAGAAATCAATCCCGTTAGCTCTGTGCTCACTTGTCTGTCTGTCTGTCCGTCCGTCACCGACCCCCCCGGCTCACCTGAGGGGGAGGCGGCGCAGGTGCCCCCGTTCTGGCAGTAGTCCCAGCACTGGTCGATCTGGCACTTGTCGCCGTTGTAGCGCGGCTGGCAGCGGCACTTGGCCTGCTTGCGGGCGTTGAGGAAGCAGCTGCCGCCGTTCAGGCACACCAGGTCGCACGTGTCGGTGGTGGGCACTGCGAGGGAGGCGTGGAGGGGATGGAAGTGAGCGGGGCCGCGCTGGCAGCGCCCGACCTCCCTCCTCATCCTCATCCTCATCCTCATCCTCATCCTCATCCTCATCCTCATCCTCATCCTCATCCTCATCCCCATCCCCATCCTCATCCTCATCCTCATCCTCATCCTCTCCTCCTCCGGTGTCACCTACCGACAGGGGAGACGGTGGGCGAGGGAATGACCACGCAGGTGCCGTTGTCCAGGCGTTTGCCGTTGGGGCAGGTGCACACGGGGCCGCTGGGGCTGAGCAGGCAGAGCCACTCACACTTCTTGCGGTCACAGGGGTTGGTCACTGCGGGAGGGGAGGGCACAGGCGGTGAGGACAGCAGGGAGGGGACAGAGGGGTGGTGACAGCACGGTGACCCCCAGCCCTTCTTACTCCACAGCACCTCTAGGACATCCCTCTCCACAGCCCTGTGCTGTCCCTCCCGTGCCCTGAGGTCACCAGTGCAGCTGGACTCCCCCAACCCACCTCAGCAACCCCCTGCCCTGCCCACCCAGACACCCC